CAGGAGCAGTGTTTTTGTATACTACTGAAATTAAGTTGCTATCAATCCAAAATAGATTTTTATAAATTAAGGTGTTTATTATAATCCTCAAAGCAACCATTAATAAAATAACTCAAATATCTATTGCACACAGAAGAAGGCAGTAATGAAGGAATAGTGGAAGAACAATAACAAAAAAGACAGAAAACAAATAGTAAAGTGGATATTTGCAAAATAGCTAAGTAAATTCTACCTTATCAGTAATTACATTAAGTGTAAATGGACTAAGCACTCCAATCAAAAGAAAAAGATTGGCAAAATGAATTTTTTTAAAAAGGACATGATCCAACTTTATGCTGCCTGAAAGATAAATGCTTTGGTTAAAAAACACAACTAGATCAAGTGTAAACAGAAAAAGACATGCAAGCAGTAAACAAAAGACAACTGATTTGGTTATACTAATACCAGACAAAATAACCTTTTTGTTACTAGAAATTTTCTAATAAAATTTTCACTCCATTAATTCAACAGTTATAGTTGGAGACTTTAATACCCCACTTTCAATAATGGATAGAATAGTTAGAAAGAAAATCAACAGAAAAGGAAAGTCTTGAACAGCACTATAAACCAACAATTACAAACCTAACATATTTATTACACTCTACCCTACAATAACAGAATGCACATTCTTCTTAAGTGTACATGACACATACTTCAGGATAGACCATATGTTAGGCTACAAAATAAATTTCAATACATTTTAAATGGTTAAAATCATAGAAAGTATCTTTTCTGATCACAGTGGAATGATAGTATAAATCAGTAACAGACAGAAAATTTAAAAACTTATAAATACATGGAAATTAAAGAACATACTCCTAACCAGTGGATCAAAGAAGAAATCAAAAGGGAGATTAGAAAATACCTTGTGATAAATGAATATGATAACACAGTGTACCAAAATTTTGAGGGTAGAGTGAAAGCAGTGCTCAGAGAGAAATTTATTTTTATAAATGCCTATATTAAAAAAAAAAAGAATATCTGAAATCAGTACTCTAACCTTCTACCTTAAGGAATTAAGGAAAGAAGGGCAAATCAAACCCAAGGCAAGCAGATCAAAGGAATAGTAGAGATTAGAATGGAAATAAAGGAAATAGAAAATAAAGTAGAAAAAGTCAGGGTAACAAAAGTTGGCTCTTTGAAAAGATCAAGAAAATTGACATTTAACTAGACTGACCAAGAAAAAATGCAGAAAAGACTCAAATTACTAAAATTAGAAATGAAAGAGGGGTTGTTACTGCCAAACTTACAGAAATATAAAGCATTATAAGAGAATACTTGAACAATTGTATGACAACAAAATACATAATTTAGATAAGTTGGACAAATTCAGGACTTCCCTGGTGGCACAGTTGTTAAGAATCCTCCTGCCAATGCAGGGGACACACGTTAGAGCCCTGGCCTGGGAAGATCCCACATGCTGTGGAGCAACTAAGCCTGTGTGCCACAACTACTGAGCCTGTGCTCTAGAGCCCGCAGTTCACAACTACTGAGCCCACATGCCACAACTAATGAAGCCTGTGTGCCGAGAGCCCATGCTCAGCAACAAGAGAAGCCACCAGCCCCTGCTCGCTGCAATTAGAGAAAGCCCATGTGCAGCAATGAAGACCCAACACAGCCAAAAATAAAAAGATAATAAATAAATTTATTTTAAAAAAAAAAAGATGGACAAATTCATAGAAAGACATAGCTATGGAAACTGACACTCAAGCAGTCGAATGTCTGAATACTATAACAAGTGAAGAGGTGGAAGAATTAGTAATACGAAAATTTCACACAAAGAAAAGCCCAGGAAAGAATGACTCCACTGATGAATTCTAGCAAACATTTAAAGAGAATCCTTTACAAACGCTTATGAAAAATAGAACAGGAAACATGTACCAGTTTATTCCATGAGGCCAGTGTTGCCTGATACCAAAAGTAATCAAAGACATCACAAGAAAGCTACAGAGCAGTATCTCTTACGGTTATAGATGCAAAAATCCTCAACAGAAAAGTAGAACACTGAATCCAGCAACTTACTAAAAGGATTGTACACAGTGACCAAGTGGAATTTATCTCAGGACTGCAAGGTGGTTCAACACCCTGCCAGTTTATTGGTTCAGCTAAAATCAGTGTAACACCATATTAGAGTAAAGTACAAAAACCACAAGATCATCTCAAGATGAGAAAAAGCAATTGACAATATAACACTCAACAAAGTAGGAATAGCAGGTACTTCCTAAACCTTAAAGGGCATCTATGCATACAATAGTTAACATCATACTGAATGGTGAAAGTTATCATTTTTCTCTTAAGTTTGAGAATAAAATAAGGATGGCCGCTCTCACCACTTGTATTCATTTTTGTGTTGGAGGTTCTAGCTAGGGCAATTAGGCAAGAAAAAGAAATAAAAGATATCCAGATTGGAAAAGAAGTAAAATTATCTTTAAATTTGCAAATGACATGATATTCTACATAGAAATACTAAGGAATCCATAAAAAATAACTATTTAGAACTAAAACAAGTTCAGCAAAGTTATAGGATGCATATTCACTATACAAATATCAGTTACATTTTTATACACCAGCAATGAACAATCCAAAAATGAAATCAAGTTAATTCCATTTATAGTAGCATCAAAAAGAGCAAGATACTTAGAAATAACTTTAATGAAAGTACCCTGAAAGCTTCAAAATATTGTTGAGAGAAATTTCTAAATAAATGGGAGAATTCCATGATGACAGATTGGAAAACATTATTATTAAGATAACATTCTCCCCCAAATTGATCTACAGATTTAATATAATCCCAACCAGAATTCCAACTGGATTGGGTGCAGAAATTGAGAAGCTGATCCTAAAATTCATATGGAAATTGAAAGAGACCCAGAATAGCCACAAAAAATTTGAAACAGAAGAACAAAACTGGAGAACTGACACTTCTCAATTTCAAACTTACTGCAAAACTACAGTAATCAAGACTGTATTGTATTGATGTAATACAGACATGTAGAACAAGGGGTAAAATTGAGGGTCCAGAAACAAACCCATGCATTTACAGTGAATGGATTTTTGACAAAAGTGTCAAGACAATTTAATGAGGAAAGAATAGTCTTTTTCACAGATAATTCTTGGATAATTGGATATCCACCTGGAAAGGAATGAAGTTAGACCCCTACCTCACACCATATACAAAAGTTAACTCAAAATGGATCAAAGACTAACAAGGTATAAATTTTCTTGACCTTGGATTAGGCAACGGTTTCTAAAATATTTGCAAATCATGTATCTGATAAGGGTCTTATATCCAGAATATATAGAGAACTCTTACAGTTCAACAATAAAAATATAAATCATGCAATTTTAATTTGGACCAATAATTTAAATAGACATTTCTCAAAAAAAGGATACACACGTGGCCATTGTGCACATGAAAAGATGCAGATCATCATTAGTCATTAGGGAAATGCACATCCAAACCAGAGTGAAATACCACTTCATACCTCCTGGTACATCTATTGAAAAAGATGGACAGTAACAAGTGTTGGTGAAGCTATGGAGAAATTGGAAATCTCATACATAGCTAATGGAAATGTAAAATTATGTGACTGCTTTGGAAAAAAAAAAATGTAGCAGTTCCTCTAAAAGTTAAACGTAGAGTTATACAACCTAGCAATTCTATTCCTAAGAATATACCCAAAAGAATTTTTTAAATGTATCCATATAAAAACTTGTACACAAATGTTTATAGTAGCATTATTCATAATAGTCAAAAGGTGGAAACAACCCAAATGCCCATTAACTTATGAATGGATAAATTATGGTATATCCATATAATGGAATATTATTCAGCCATAAGAAGGAACAAAGTACTGATGCATGATACAAGTAACCTTGAAAACATCATGCTAAGTGAAAGAAGCCAGACACAAAATGACATATATGATTCTAGTTATATGAAGTGTCCAAAATAAGTATATCTATACAGACAGAAAGTAGATTGTGGTTGCAAGGGGTTAGGGGGAATGATCTGGGTAATTGGGAGTGACTAATGGGCATGGGGTTTCTTTTTGGTGAGGTAAAAATGTTCTGTGATAGACAGTGGTATAGGTTACAGAACCTTGTAAATGTAACCACTGAATTTTATTTTTAATTTTTTTTTTATGCAGCAGGTCCTTGTTAGCCATCAATTTTATACACATCAGTGTATACATGTCAATCCCAATCGCCCAATTCATCATACCACCACCACCACCACCACCACCCCCCGCTGTTTTCCCCCCTTGGTGTCCATACGTTTATTCTCTACATCTGTGTCTCAATTTCTGCCCTGCAAACTGAAAAACCACTAAATTTTAAAAATTTTAATAATGTTTAAAATTTTAAAAATTAGCAAATTGAACCCAACAATCTATAAAAAGAATAATGCACATGACCATAATGGTTATTCTAGGGATGAAAGAAAGGCAAGCTCAGTATTTGAAATTTTGCCAGTATAATCCACCATGTTAACAGTCTAAAAAGAACAACTACATGATTATATCAATTGGTGCAAAAATTCTTTTACAAACTTATTCATTTATGATAAAAACTTGTTAAACCAGAATAAAAGTTATGTACATAAAATCTACAGCTAATATAATACTTAAGGTAAAAAATATTGTGTGTGTAAAGAATGTTTTGGGAAATATTTTCTATAATTTTTTTGTCTTTCAAAATAGAATGCATGTAACATTTTTGGGTATGTTATCAGTAGTTGGCAAAAGTAGGAGAGTTTTTAATACATCTACTTTGGTACATTGTACTGAGTAGTTTCTAAAAACTTTACTCATAATAATGACTTTGATTAAAGGACATGTCATTGATTTTGATACCTGACAGACACATCATTGATTTTCTCAACCTTCTGTCTGTCCCACTAGAAATGTGGCTTTATTTTCACTGTTATATTTATTTCATTTTCTCCCTATTTTTTATAGGTGTATTCGACACAAAAATGATTGGGGAGCTCTTATTCTAGTGGATGATCGCTTCAGGAGTAACCCAAGTCGATACATATCTGGTAAGATTCTCTGCTGGGCTTAGAGTACGAATTAGTAACAATCTTTGGTATTTAATGACTTCTATTTTTAAAGCAAAGAATTGGATAGAGAATTTGAATTGCTAGATCGAACATGGAAAAATTCACATTGACTGGAAATCTAGCCTTTTAATGCTTCTGTGTTTACAAAAAATCTTTATAGAGGAGAATCTGGTTACTGATGTAGTATTAATCAATCAAGATCCTTCAATTTCACCAGAATGTGGGATTTGATTCAGTAACATAGCAATAATTTATTTACCATTGTCAGGGAAAAAGCTGTTCCACAGAAATGAGTTTTCCAAGAAATATTAAGTTTTTACATTTAAGCACACAAGCAATCCTTTGGTGCTTAGGATTCTTTTTATTCTTTTTATTTATTCTTTTTATTCTTTCATTCTGGATTATTTGAGTTTTATTGTTGTATGTGTGTGTGTTTGTTTGTTTAGAAATGCTTCAGTTGTTTATAGAGTTTATATTAGAGCTAGTATTTTCTAAAAAGAAAAAAAAGCACCACTGCATGCTGCAAGATCAAGTACATGGTCATTTTTCTCCACTCAAATGAACAAATACTGTGTGCCTATAGTTTTCATCCGAATTAATACCAGGAATCCATCTGTTATTAAAGAACTGTTGGAAGTACTTGCGTTTTTGTTATCTTTAGAGCTAAAAAGTTCATACCATACTATAATGAAAAGATGCTAATTTTTTAATTTGTTTCAGATTGGCTCTCTATGGGTATGGACTCTACTTTTTATATTTCAGAGCCTAATTATTATATTTGGTTCAATATTAAAACATATCCACCTGGATTGAAGCAGGAAATGCTGTTTTATTAGTCTTTTCTTCTCTTTCCCTGTAAAGCAAGCCAAGGCCAAGATATAACCAAAAACAAATGTTAAGTGCTCATGTTTAGTCAGCAGGTGGAGCTCAGATTCTTTCAAGTTTTCAAAAGCAAACTGACATTTTACACTGAAAAGGCTTTCTTTGATCACAAAAAGTTCGAAATGAAAGCAATAACTATAACGCTAAAATTTTTCAATTTGGGAAATTTTCATATTCTTATTTGGTATAATTATTTTCCCCAAGCAAACAAAAATAAAGAACTTTAAAGAAATGCTGTTTAAGTTTTTTTTTCTTATTTTAAAATCTAGAACTGAAATTTTTACCTTGTAGTTCAGATTTGTTGAGAGATTTTTTTGAATTAAGTATTTTCCATTATTTTCTGTAAGGTTTTTATTTTTTCTGAGACTCATAAACTTTGAAATCTTATCTAGGCAATACAGCACAACAACATACAAATTCCATTTGATGACTAATTTTTGTTTAAATTCAACATGCAAAAGAATAGTTGATAGAAAAGCTCCATTAAACAAAAAAACTAAAGGAATGTATTTGAAATGAAAGAATAATAGTTCAAGTTGCTTGAAGCCCTGTCTTACCTTCCTCTCAACTTAAAATACCATAGTGACTTTTTAAATTACTCCAAAAGATGATGTTTTAGTAACATCAGCAGAGAATATTTATTTTCTAAAGTCCAAATATCTGAATTTCATTCTGAAGTGAGTCATACTCCAAAACACCTTATACTGTTAATATGGTTTATTTTTATGCAGTTTTCACATGTCACAGGGTCAAACCTTGTCCCTTACAACTTGATTATTTATATATTAAAAAATATTATATAATAAATATTCAGATAGGACATGATTTGCCCATAAAACAGTGTTATTCCTTTTACTCCCAGAATAGTTTGATATATTTGGAATTGGAAGGAGAAGGGAAACAAATAAACAAACAAAAAAACTATGAGACTGTGATCTTGAATTTATTTTTGCTAAAGGAGTCAAATTTAAAAGTCAGAATAAAAGATTGTGTTTAGAACTTGTATTTTCTCTGCAATTAAAAGGTAGGTAATTTTTTGTGGGGAATTATGATAAAATTAAATTTGCCTTATTCCCCAGTTATTCTTAATTGACAAATAATATTTTCCCATCTCCATTCTACTCCCACTGCCTCTTCCCTCCATCCAGTTGGCAATCACTGCATGTAAAGAGAAATGCTACTGATACAAGAACCTATTGTACACACGAAGGTAAAAAGGCAGGAAAAATGTAGAGAACCACCCTGTATCCTCTAAATTCAAAGTAGATTACCTCACCAGAGAAGTTATCTAATTTTTTTTTCTTAATACATAATATCTTCACTGAATAACCAAAGTTTCTTTGCTGGGTTGACTTTTTGCCTTAGGACTTTCTAAGTGGGTTCGGCAGCTGATTCAGCACCATCCAACCTTTGAGAGTGCGCTGGAGTCCTTGGCTGAATTTTCCAAAAGGCACCGAAAGGTCATTGATGTATACAAAGAAGACAGAAAATCTGTACAGGACAATGAGTCTCCGCTTGCAGTGGCTTGTTTGAAGGATAATACCTCAACTTATTTATTAGAAGCAGCAAGCCATCTATCACCAGAATATCCTAGGGAAGGTAAAGTAAAAATGTGTCTAAGAGCTACAGTGTCCTAAAATGATAGATAAAAGTCCATCTTTACCAAGAGACATCATCTCCAGAAAGGAGAAAAATATGAAAAGTTCTAACCATTTACATTTGGTAGAGAAGTCTTTCATTGTGTTTAGTGAAATGATATTTGTTATGCTACAGATTAATGTCCTTAAATATGTTGGTTATTATAAGGTGTTATCATAAAATAATTTGTATCAGAATGGGAACAAATTTTTGAGGAGATCTACACATATTTTCTGGTTTTCCACTTAGAAGCTTTGCCACTAACTAACTTTGTGACCCCCACTCCCGAGCAAGTCAGTTAACTTTTTGAGTCTTAATAGAAGGGATATCTGCCTACCTATCCCTCCAGGTTGGGTTGTAAAGATCTAATAAGATGATAAATGTCACAACATTGTAAAGCACTATGCAAATGGTAATGTTTTTCTAAAGGTGATATTAAAAATTGACCTAATTTATAGATAATTGTCTTAACATGAATTTCTTATTTTAGAGAAGTGAGAGTCATTTATTCTAAATGATAAAAAAATAATATTTTAAAATATCAGAATATACTGGATTAAAATATAATTTAGAAAATTAAAATATAGTTTAAAATATATTAGAATATAATACATCAGGGATTAGCAAACTATGGCCTGCGGACCAAATTCGGCCTGCTGTTTTTGTAAGTAAAATTTAATGGAATACAGTCACACCCAATCATTTATATATTGTACACAACAATAGAGTTGAGTAGTTGTATGTATTGCACTAGAACAGCATAATTGAGTAGTTGCAACAGATACAATGTGATCCACAAAGCCTAAAATATTTACTGTCTGGCCTATTATAGAAAAAGTTTGTCAAACTGTTCTGTATCATTGGATATCATTTTAATTGTTTTAATTAATATATAATAGTACTTTAATATATTACTTTTTAAATATTTTATAGTATATGCTTCTATCCTAGCTAAATGTCATAGTGAATTCTAGGCCATTATACTGATAATCAGGAAAGCTAGGTTCTAGTCCAGGTCTGATTACCAACCAATTCTATAACTTTAAGCAAATAACTTAGTCTTGGTGGCTGTCAGTTTCCTTAAGGGAATTAGTCTAGGTCAGTTTTTCTCAATCACTGGTGAGTGGATTTTTAAGGCATTTTTACAGCCTGTTCCCTCCTTTACTCATCCTTCTTCCTCTTCCTTTTTACCATTTCTTTTCTTGTTCACTTCTGAGGTCCCTGGTGTGGAATTTGATAGTTTACCAGACAGCATTATAACTTGGGCTGGGAACAACTGGAGACCTAAGATTCCTTTCAGAGTTAACATGTTGTGCTTGAAGATGGCTTGCTTAGAATGCTTCCATTCTAAGATGGAAGTCCTGCTACTACTTGTTATGGGCTCTCAATTATGTATCCTATACAGTTATTTCAGTATTTCTAACAAAAATTGTTTTAATATAACAAATATTACATTAGGAACAGAAAGTTAACACTCATATCTTTGTATTTGTAGATGATCCATTATTATTGGAAGAGTCTGCCCAGGCAGTAGGAGCAGAAAAAATTGTGATTTCCAGGTCCACAAGCCCAACCTTCAACAAACAAACAAACAGAGTTAGCTGGTCTGGCAGTAATTTTCTGGAACAGTATCTTACTGGTAAAATTCTGACTGGAACACCTAAGTTTAGGTCATCAGAGGACTGTGCCTCTAATTCTTCCACTTTCAAAACAGAAAAGGGACGTGAAGCAGTTTTGCCACTCACTGATAAATATGAGTCCTCTCTGACAGTAAACACATCACTTGGACCATGCCCTCAATCGGAAACCATTGTTCCATCAATAAAGATCAATGCTACTCTCCTGAATCCAGAAGATCCAGACATTCTGTTATCTCTAGTAAGTGAAGAAGCTGAACTTTCTACTTCAAATACAGAAGCAGAGGATGAATCTATCTATTTTACACCCGAACTTTATGATCCCATAGATACAAATGAAGAAAAGAATGAAGTAGTTGGAACTGATAGAGACAACAGATTGGCTAATAATTCAAATTGCATTTTAGCTGAAGATCTTTTTGAAATTAAAACTATGAAAGGAATGGATTCAGTCAGAGAAATGAAAGCTGAGGATTGCACAGGCACAAAGTTGAATAGACTCACACATATTAAAGAAAGTAAAGTTGATGACATTGGTAGTAATGTAAAAATGACTCATATAAATGAATTGGAACTGGGAAAAAACTCATGAAATGGATATAAAGAACTTTAAACAGTCTCCTCCCAAAAATAAAGATGTGTTCCCTGGTGTTAGGTAGTAATACTTAACTGTCAAGGTATAAAAACATGTCGTCATGCTTATATTAAACTCTATTGTAAATGATAATTTGTACATTGGATAAGTGACATAGCTTTTTTTTTTAATTTGAGATATATAATTCACTTTAATCCAAAGTCTATATTATGTTCAGAAATATAAGTTTTACTATTCTCAAGTTTTGATAAATTGATTCATAAAAAATATTTTCCTCCAAGTCTTCCTTAGCTAAATGCAATATTAAATTAATCAATCTGGAAGATATGTAGTTTCCTAAGGCACTTTAAATTTCACATAAATATTTGTATTTTGTAGTCCTCTTCATCCATTTTTTTTCATACTGATGTGTAAAAATTAATAGCAATCTAATCCAGTTACCCCTCAGTCATGTTTCACTGTAGATTTTACCTCAGATCAGTCTGAGGTTTTTTTTTTTTAGAAATCAGTTTTCTTGAAAAGTATATTCCTGTATTAAACTGCCTACTTGTAAGTAATTAAGAATTAAGGAAGAAAACTACATGTATTTTTAATTGAAATTGTTTTACATTTTTGTTTGTTAAATCAAAACCAAGCATGTTTTAAACAAATTTATGTAAAATTATGCCAAATGAAGGACTCCAAATTTTCAATTCTAATTATTTAGCTTCATCACCATTGCGGAAAAAAGTGACATGTTCTAGCATAAAGGCTTCAGTTATGCAACTAAGATAGAAAACTTCAAATATAAATTTAATAAGTAAAGCTAAACATGTAACTGTAGCTGAAAAATGTTCCCTTATAGCCCAGTAAGCTTTTCTGTAAATTTTGACTCTTGGTTTTTGTGAATGAAGCTACACTTCTGATCAAAAATGGTTATAAAAGTAGCTCTTCTCTGACATCATTCCAAAAATACATTCACCAATCTTTTCCAAGAAACATCTGTTACTCAATAGACATTTAGCCTTCTTGGAGTGATTTGAATCGAAATTTTATGAGCTGTTCAAGTTGTTGATGCGGTTTATTATTTTCAAGTCAAAATTCTCAGCAGTCAGGTATCTTTTATATTCATTTGGAACAATGATTTATTATATATGCATATGTTTACTTTCATTTTGATGACATTTATATTGAATACAGCTTAATTGTTTCTATAACATTGGATGTTACAACTCTAAGCATAGTTCAAAGAAATTTAAATTGATAATTTACCAGTTAAAGAATTTATCTGCAGATTGGGATATATTCAGTCCCACCTAGTATTAGATCTTTTTCTTAGGTGATCAGTAAAAAGTTTCAAGCACTGGATTAGAAGGTAATTTTTAAATTGTTTTGAAAGGGTGAAATCATTTGTCATCTTTGGAACAGTTCTTAATCCACACATCAAGGGTGGTGTGGTAGTAGAAAAAATACCAGGTAGAAGACAAGAGACTTGGGCTCTATTCTTGGGTCTGCCACTAATTTGCTAAGTCATGTTGGCAATCACCATGCCTTTTGGGGAATTAGTTTCATCTGTGAAATGTGTACTTTAGTACTATAAAATCATGCAAATCCCTTTCAGCTTTAAAAATCCATAATTTAAAGGAATATATGTTGATATTTTATTCTGAATAAATTTTCATTTGCTTTGGTTGCAAAATGCTTAAAATAAAGCAAACCATTTGTATAAAAGGTAACATGAATAATTGTATGAATATGTACATAATAACTTGGGAAGCAAGTATTTATTTTACCAGTGCTTCAATTAAAATATTTTTGAATCCTTAAAATTGCCCTTAGAAGATTTGGTAAACTACCTGAGAAAAATCAAACACATTATTTTTTAGTGTTATTATCCAGCTTGATCTCAAATACCATCCCTTTCCCTAGATATAATTTATTCTTTCCAAAATCTAATTCTCTCCAAGGCTAAAAATTTCCATTACTGAGAATGTACATAGAGATGTGGCACAAGCTTTTAGTAATTCCAAGAGGTGCTTCAAAAATTTTGTACAATGGTATCATGGTTGAATCAGGTATATAGTCTCCTCAGATCACAGCCTTGACCAGGTTGGTATTGCAAGAAGTAAAGTCTAGCCTTTATAAAGAGTGTGAGGTAAAACGTTTTCATTAGTGATAAAATACTTTTTAAAGAGATGTTTTAGAAAGTTTAAGGTAAAACATGTAAAAGCATTTAAAAGAGTATCTGGCACATCGCAAGCCCTCAATTATTACTTGGTAAATCAATCATGTATCTGGAGTACACTCTTGCTTTATACAAAGACTTCCCTAATGATGATAGATAGATAGATAGATAGATAGATAGACAGATAGGAGATAAACTGACAATAAAGAAGCATTGTGTAGTAGGAAGGGTAAGTTACTTGTCTCGTTTATTTTTTAAGGCTGAGATATATAAGATAGAAATTGTTTATCAAGTAATTTGCCTTACCCGTTCCATGCATATGAAATAATCATCTAATACTGAATTTATTTAAGGGCTGAAAATACATAGAACATTCAGGCCACGAATCAGGAAAACTACCAGCTGGAGAAGGGGCTTGGTTCATGGAAGAAAGGTACATTGTGAAGAGTAGATGCTTCATGACTTGACTTTTAAAGTTTACATGAATCATTTAAAATCTTTAATAATTGTGTTGGAAATTAATGACAACTCTTTGTGCTACTACTATGCATTTAATTATTAAGTGGTTTTTAATTTTGTATTGTTTCTAAGTTCACATGCTTTTCCATATTATTTTTCTGCAATATGACCTTCTCATGCTATGTTCCTGTAGTAAAACACATTCAAAATATTTAATTCTTTGAAATTGCTTATAAAACTCCATGAAGTCAAAACACCTATTGTAAAATCACTTGAAAGACTGGTTATTTAGTTATTTAATCTCTGATGGCATTATTTTGGCATTTGCTTACTACAGAATTATTCTTGCTCATGATCTTTTCAGCCTCAGATTTATCAGTAAGCTGCACAAGATTTTACTTTAACTGTTACGAATTTGTGGTAGAGTCTTGTCTATTTTTATAGACAAATGCAGTCAATTTTTTGTAAATAAAAAGGCAGTATTAAAACTGAACTTATTTTTTCTGAACTTTTTCATAATAAAAAATAAATTTAATACCACATCAAACAGTGAATGTCTAAGGAAGATAAAACTTTAATATAAAGTATCTGTGCAGCGATTAAACATAAAGACATCACTTCAGGAAATGGAAATTTAAATAGATGACCTAGGCTTATGATTCTCTAGCCTGAAACAATTTTCATGTCTACCAAAAAAAAAAGCATTTTGTTTCTTAAGGTTTCATTTGATAGACCATTAGCTGCCTGGCTTCCTGTACTCTACAATGGGGCCTTGTTGTAAAATCCATGTGATCTGAGCCAGTGGATCACCTTATTGGTGAAACCATCTTATAATGAAGTGCTTTCAGTAACTGAACTCCTGGACAAGATCCAAAACAACCCATCTTATACCAAATTCTACTCTGTAATAAACAAGTTTCAATGTATTACAAGGAAAACAAAAATTGTATTCCCAGAAATTAACCTTTGAAAATCTAATGGTAAATTCTGATTAAAAGGAATATTTGTTCACAAGGCACAGTGAGGTACATATTTTAGTATGCTTTATAGTTTGTGTTTTTTAATTTTGATCTTTTGTGATTTTGATTCTCTTGTGCTTTTACCCAAAATTTCACCATTTCACATTATTTTACATCTGTATTTACAAAGCTTAATTTAAAAGGTTTCCTTTGTCTCCTTTCTGTTACAAAGTACTGATTGTACAGGTGGCATGTCATGTATGTAAACTAAGTTAGATGCCATCGTCTTTTATGTATGATTCATATATAGTGAAAAGATTTAGAGATATTAAATACTGATTGTTGTTATTTTGGATCAAGAATTGTCTTGGTATATTTTCCCTTTTTTTCAAACTAGTGTTGTGGTATTCATATTTAAATGTTAACCATCCTTTCAAACATTGATCTCTTTTATTGTATCTGTTGTAAAAGGACCCAAGTAATCCACCTGGCCAATCAGGATTTTATTGCTTGTGGTTACCTAAAGCAGAAGGCAGTAGGAAATATAAAAAATTACTCTGTGCCATCCTTAGTATGGACCAACCTAACTTACAGTAAGGTAGATTATGTATTAATATTTCCATATTTCAGTCTTTAAAGTTGATTGGCAATATACATGGGCTTTGTTACCATTAGACATGGAAACATGTTCTGATACCACCTGCTGACTTACTTTGGGCAAGTTACTTATCTTCTCTGGACTTCTGTTTTTTCACCTTAAAATGTTAATAAATAATAATTTCATAAGAAATAAATCAAACATTATGAGTATCAGATGCAGTAGAGTGCATAAAAGCTTTTTTTTTTTTACATCAGACAAGGAGACAGATAACAGAATTGGGGGTCAAAAGTATGAGTTTGAGTTTTGGCCCTGCTATTTACTGAGTGGCCTTGGTCATATTATTTTAACTCATTGAGCCTCAGCTTTATTTTCTGGGGGTGAAAAAAGGGAGCAGTATCTACCTAAGAAAAGTATTGTGATGATTAAATGAGATGATATACAATATGTGAAAGTACTTTATAAATGTTGAACCACTGTCCAAATGGTAGTTGTTAGGAAACTGCAACAATAATCTAGTACAATTGTTTTCTCAGTGTCCTGAAATTGCACCTTCAAAAGGACTAATAAACCTGTTAGAATTTGGTCCAAGCGCTGAAAGGCACTTGGAGCTTTATTAAAAATTCTGTGTAGTTAAATATTGTGAAAATGTATTTTCCATTTTTTACATTTCATTTTTATATCTTAAAATGTGTGCACATTACAAACAAAAATGTCATCAGCAGAACACTGAAATCTGTAATTTGCACTGAGAACATTCTATGTACAATTCATAGGGCAGGGATTTTTGTTGGGGGTGGGGGCAGTCTGTGTTGTTTACTGCTGTACTCCCAACATTATATTTACTGACTAAATTAATTGATACATTCTATTAATAATGTATTTCTATCAGGACTTTATATATGAATACTTGGCTTTCATAAATGCCTATTTCATTTGACTAATTTCAAGACTAGTGACCCTTCTCTTTCCAAATTTGTTATTCTTACCCTAACAGCATTAAATCCCTTACATTTTCTCTAATCCTTCAGCTGTGGGCCAGAGATTGTCTTTTCTCTTTCTTTTTTTCCAAAGGGTGTGATTTTACCAATTTTAACTTACAAAGAATTTTGTACATTCTCTTTGAGATATTCATAAACAGTACTATTTTGACACATTGGATTCTAAAATAGGAATTGGATTTCATGCTAACTAATTGATTAGCCAAAAATGACAGCTATTTTGTAAACCTTTTAAGCCCATTATGACCCTGGGACAAAGTTAATTTTTCCTGCCTTTGTCCCAGTGTAGTATTTGTTGTTTGGTATTGCAATTAATTGTTGAGAAGTCTGTCTCTCTGGCCCACTGTGACCCCTAAGAATCCAGACACTTTTCATATTACCTGGCATTTAATCATTCATCTACTTTTTCATCTGCTGTATTTTGAAATTAAGAGCAGTGCTATACTCTAGGGATACCAAAGATGTGTATGATGAGGATATATCTACTAGGAATTCACAGCCTAATTCACATATAAGTAAACACTTATTTATAGTACAGTGTGATAGGAGCTGTAATACAGGCAAGGCAGTGTTTGTTGAGTATATGCATACTGTTAAGCACAATTAAGATTATAGAGGATCTGTAAGTTAACAGCATAATCTGTTTAACACAGGAAAATTCTTAACAGGTTTTTTTTTAATTTTAATGGAAAAATGCTCAATTTTAAAATATATTCTTGAGGAATTTCAGGATATGCTACGTTTCCTGAAGTGCCCATCTTCAGATCTCTTAACTTCTCTATTCTGGATTATTGAGTGTTAACTTACCCAAACAGAACAAAACAAGAACATAACAAGTATATCTGTAGTGCCTTAGAGTATAGCATGTAGTATAGTGTATCATAGAGCTTTGACAACTGTTAGTTCATTCGGTTCTCAAAATAGCCTGCCAAAGTCAGCAACACAGGTGGTATTATCCTCATTCTTATAAATGAGGAAAATAAAACATAGTAATGAGACCACAATCAAGGTCTTGGTTGACGTATTTTTGGGCTTTGTATTGATTTTATTAGTCCACTTTTGTTTTCCAGAATCTCTCTATGAAAGGTATAGTCTTGGAATTCTGAAAGCAAGCCTCACGATCCTACTTTTTATCCTAAGGGGCATTTTCCAGAATAATTTTACAACATTTTAATAATATTAAATGAAGGTACATTAACATCCATTAAGGAGTATTAGCTTTTTGAGGGTAGAAACCATCCTGGAGAATAGTAAACTGCTTGACACGTAGTACGTGCTTAGTAAATATTTTTCGATGAAAAAAAGGAATCTCCTTAAAACAACTCAAAAAGCTTAACATTACCTTGGGTAACATAGCTAACTAGTGACATTTGAGTCAGAACTAGTACCAAAGTGTCATAACTTTCAATTCCAGTTTCTTAACACCTTACCAGCATACCTAATACCAAAGCCTCAGTTTCTGACTTCAACTCCTATGATTTCACCTCCATTTCATCTACCCTTTTCCATTGACAACACCCTACTCCATTCCTCCTCCTATACCTACTCCCTCAGTTTTCTCCCAGCTTATCAGCCTCCTTCCTTCAGTCTTTCTTCCTTACTTCCAGGTTTGGACTTCATAATCAGTCACTGGAACTATTCTCCCGCTGGTGTCCTGAACTCCTATCCACCTTTGTCATTCTATCCCAGTCCTGCAGAATCCCCAAACCTAGTTTAATATATCAGTTTGTCTTTGCTGTTACTACACTGGAAAGTTGAGCACTGCTGAAGTTTATGTATAGTAGTGTGGATTGGTGTCACTACAGTAGATGGCTTCTAGTCTTGATTGGATTCTCAGCGTTGCTTTTCAGCTCATGTATTTTCCCTGACTAGTTCCCCTCTCTTCCCTAACCACGAGTAACTGGACTAAATTTACATGTTGTTTCTTTTCTCACCCCTGCTCCCTTCCCAGTTGATATGCTTCCTCTGGATAATCGTATCCTGTTTTGAACTACTTGCTAATGATTCCTGACCCATCATCCAGCTGACTGCTCAACATCCTAGATATCCCATAGCATCTCAAACTCAATTTGTATAAAACAATTCTTTTCTGAAACCTGCTCTTCCTGTTTCACTGGTGGCACCATCATCCATCTAGTTCTCCAAATATTAAATATCAGGTCATCCAAGTTTTTGAGTTGAGCAATATCGCTCAACTATCCCCTACTTTCCATCTTCACAGTGACTGCATTAATTCAGACCTTCATAATCTCTTTTCTAGACTAGTATAATGGTTGTGGTTTTTTAAATATTTATTTATTTGACTGCACCGGGTCTTAGTTGCAGTACGTGGGATCTTCGTTGCTGCGTGTGGGATCTTCAGTTGCGGCATGCTGGATCTTCACTTGCGGCATATGGGATCTTTTAGTTGCAACATGCGGGATCTAGTTCCCTGACCAGGGATCGAACCCAGGCCTCCTGCATTGGGAGCATGGAGTCTTGACTGCTGGACCACCAGGGAAGTCCTAGACTAGTGTAATAGTTCTTTACTAGTCACTTTGCCACCAGTCCATCCCCAAAAGTCCCCCTTCTACTTTGTTGCCATTTAACTAGTCTAAAAAACAAATCACTTCACTCACCTGTTTAAAATCTTTTTATATACAAGATCAAGTCAAAACTCTACATGAAAACATAACAGACTTTTTTTTTCATTTTAGTGAAGTATAGTTGATTTACAATGTCATGTTAGTTTCAGGTGTACAGCACATTCAGTTTAATATATATATATATATATATATATATATATATATAAATACAAATATATATATATATGTTCTTTTTCAGGTTCTTCTCCCTTATAGGTTATTACAAGATATTGAGTACAGTTCCCTGTGCTATACAGTAGGTCCTTGTTGGTTATCTATTTTATATGTAGTAGTGTGTATGTGTTAATCCCAGCCTCCTAATTTATCCCGCTGCCCTTTCCCCTTTGGTAACCATAAGTTTGTTTTCTAAGACATACCAGACTTTTGTGATCTGGTCTTTGCTAACGTCTCCAACCTCATCTCCTGGCACCCTGTGCTAACTTTATACTTAAGAATAGTTTTTAAAACAAACCATGCTGTTTCACATCCATTGCCTGTGCTAATGTTCTTCCATCTGTGCAGAGTTCCCTTCTCCTTTACCTGACAAACTCATACTCATCTTGAGAAGTTCAACTAAGGCATTAGTCCTCTGAAAACTTACCATGTCCTCCCAAATGCATTAAGTATACTTCATCTAACTTTCTTGCTCCCCCCTGCAGTGCACAACTTCAACATAGTATTTTCAACATTAAGTTGTTTATTTTTGCTTCTGTCTTTTGTACCAGACTTGTATGTTTGTACAAATTAAGACCTTGTTTGCTTTGGCACTCTTGCATCTGGTACATGCTTTAAAATAGTAAGTACCCAATTTATGGCACTGTTTAGTTCCACAAACTGAACTGAATCATGTTATCTTGAGACTAGCAACTTCTAGTTAAGTACTGCTTTTATTTGTTTACTATACTTTTATTACTGTTTTAATATTCTAGAGTAGGCCAGAACTTTAGAAGTCATCTACTTCCCTTATATTAAACATGAGGTAACTGAGGCCCAGAGTGATTTAGTACCTAGACAAAGGTCATTGATAGCAACATGCCACACGGTTTTTAACATAGTTTAGTTCATATTAACTTAGCCTCTTTCTCAAGGCACTCTAAGAGAAAGGTACAATTTTAGACAACTAAGAATATAA